ATGTATTATATATTATCTGTCTCTTATACACATCTAGATGTGTATAAATATATATATATATAATAAAAATAATAATAAAAGAAGTTCAACATTTAGTTTTAACATAATCATATATACATACACACACATATATATACCGTATCTTATATCATAATAGATCTATTTTAAATAGGCCCTACTTTTCCCCTTAAAATTAATGAAAGTCTTTAAAATAAGTAATACTTGAAATTCAGAAAAACCTAGATTCTTCACTCTAAAATGAGATTCAAAATTTGACGAATTTGCGGGCGTGAGACTTTTGTTTTGAAAAAATCGTCTCCGGGGGTTGGGGGCATGCCACACTTTCTGGGAATTTTCCCCATGCCCAGAAATGCGTTCTGTGTTTCTAGTGTTTATTCCTTTTTGGTAAATTGTCAATGTAACAGACGAATGGTTTTGTTTATTACAAAATCGAAAACTCTAGTTTCGAATGAATGTAGTAAGGAAATCAGAAACTACTGTGCAGTGAAAAAAACTAGAACAACTTATTTTTGAGAATCAAAAACTTACAGAACTTTTCTGTCGATAGATGGCGTCCTGTTGTATTTTACGATCGTCATAAAAAAGGGTTAGAAAAAAGTTTGTTGGAAAGTCTGATAAGTAAATAATAACAGTGCAATTACCTAAAAGGAACGTGATGTCATATTCGTATCAGACATGCCCTTCATCGAAGTGTTCCTTTTCAGCTGTATGAAAAATGTTTCTGGCGTGATTCTAATCTGTAGCCTCTCGCTATGAAATGCGAGTGTCATACCGTTAAGCATAACGGTATTAGACCACAAAGACTCTTAAAGTTTGAGAAGTTTGAGAATACTGAGCAAATCGGGAAAGGGAACAGAAACTCGCTCTCGCTCGCTCGCTGATTTGCATAACTTTTACGTCGATAGGTGGCGAACTGCTTCCTACCAAATCTAGCTAACGCATGAACTCGCACCCATTCTGCGCATTGGCGTGATACACGCATTTGATGCATCTCTCAGGCCAGGGACGTAGCCAGGATTTTGAAAGGGGGGGAGCTGTTATGCGAATTACGTATGACCCTGGCGGGGTCAAGGGGGAGAATCCCCCTGTGAAGTAGCGCACACTGAGCGTTCTTAGGACTGTTTGAGAGGATAAAGTGAAAATTGCAATAGACGCATTATAAATAAGCGAAAATATAATTATATAATAAATGAACAGTGGCAGATCCAGGAATTCGAAAGAGAGGTGAACCAGAGAGGGACTTTCACAGACTGAGGAACCACCCACCTCAGCGCCACCATGGTTGGGGCTGAGGTAAGAAAATTTATGATTAGGGCATCTCTAGATGGCCGGAAATTACACTCTGGCACTTCAATTTGAATATATTTTTCCTTTTTTTTCCTTAAAAAATGAAGGTGGGTGCCTTGAATCCACCTCTGCTCAAAACATTCTTTATCCAGAATAGTCATAATCACGAAAAATGGACATGGAAAACCAGATCACATCCTAAAAACAAACAGCAGTCACATCAGGAGCCGACATACATCAGGAGCCGACTCGATGGAGTTTAATGCCCATACCCAGGGAAGAGCACAGATCTGTTTTGAAAGGTGGAGGGGGAGGACATTTTGTAAGTCGACACCCACCCCAGCCCCACAATGGTTGGAGCTGAGGTGAGAAAATTTGAGGAAATAGTACCTCTAGATGGCCAGAAATGTCACTTTTAGTAAAATTCATCATCATCACATCACCATTAGTCAAAATGAATCGCCAAAAGAAATTCTCATGATCTTTTATCAGGGATTTTTGACAACCATAGAGATCTTATTAATGTGTGTGTATACACCATAAAAAAAAGCTTAAAAACATTGTCTTTCAGTATGTACTTTACATAGGGCTACTTCAAAAACGTGATTTCACAACCACCTCAGCCCCAGCCATGGCTGGGGCTGAGGTGAGAAAATTTGAGGAAATAGTACCTCAGA